ATTTTTGGAATAAATTCAGAATTGCTACCAGCTCATCTTTGTATTTGTGATAAAATTTAGCTGTAAATTCACCTGATCCAGAGCTATTTACAGTTGGTGGATGTTTTATTACTACTCCCATTTCATTATATATTTTTGCTGTGTTCAAGATTTTTGTTTCTTATTGGTTTAATCTTGGGAGGTTCTGTGTATCTAGGAGATTATTTTCTCCATATTTTCTAGTCGGCATGCATAGAAATCTTCATAGTAGTCTCTGAGGATATTTTGTATTTATGTGAGATCAGCTGATGCAGAATAAAAGAGTGACAAAAGTAACATTGCATGATGATAAATCTCTGAAAAAACTAAATGCAGAACAAATGCACCTGAAGCCAACAAACGTAACAAAAAAATGAAGGCTGGGCACAGTGGCTCACATCTGTAATCCTAGCACTTAGGGAGGCTGAGGCAGGCGGATCATGATGTCAGGAGCTCAAGACCAGCCTTAACAACATGGTGAAACCCTGTCTCTACTAAAACATACAAACATTAGCTGGGCATGGTGGCGCGTGCCTGTAATCCCAGCTACTCGGGAGGCTGAGGCAGGAGAATTGCCTGAACCCAGGAGGCGGAGGTTGCAGTGAGCCAAGATCGTGCCATTGCACTCCAGCCTGGGTAACAAGAGTGAAACTGCTTCTCAAAAAATAGGAAAAGAAAAAAAAAAAAAGGAAAAATTCCTCCAACTTGTAAACATTTTTTGCAATGTATAACATTCACATTTAAAAATAGAAGACTGCATGGAAATGTGTACTTTGTGCTGTATCATAGAAAAAAAAAATTTTTTTTGAAATGGAGTTTTGCTCTTGTCACCCAGGCTGGACTGCAATGGCCTGATTTCGGCTCACTGCAACCTCCACCTCTTGGGTTCCAGTGATTCTCCTCCCTCAGCTTCCTGAGTAGCTGGGTTTATAGGTGCCCGCCACCACACCCACCTAATTTTTGTATTTTTAGTAGAGACGGAGTTTCACCAGGTTGGCCAGGCTAGTCTCAAACTCCTGACCTCAGATGATCCACCTGCCTCAGCCTCCCAAAGCACTGGGATTACAGGCATGAGCCACCGCACCCGGCCAGAACATTTAATTTAAAATTCTTCACTTACCATTAGCTCTCTCAAAAAATTTAATTTATAAAATATATTTTCTAGAATTTTATGTTTGTCACACTACGTGTAAGAATACAGTTTTTGTTTTACAAACAGAGAAAATGCTAATTTTGTCCTTTACCTGTGGATAGAATATGCCTTTTATTTTAATTAGCTGATCTGAAAGTTATATTGATAAAAAATGCTCCAGTTTAAATACATTTTTCAGTGCATTAAAAATACCAAGTTTCTCATCAAAACCTACAAAGGACCATGTGAAATGACATGGCATGAATATAACAGTGAGAAAACTGCAGGCATCAAACTGATAAAGGAGAAGGGGTGTGATGCATACATAATTATAATACACATGAGACAAACAAAATAAGATATTTAGGAAATAAAAGAAGCAGAATATATCTTTGAATCTTTTCAGCAAGAGTCAGCTTTCCAGTCTGGGGAAAATGTCCTCTCCACATGAAGAATCAGCATTATTTCTTCATCATTGATATTTTCCATTTCTGACTTCAAGTTACAAACTAACTCCAGCAGAAATATTTTTGGCTTATTATGGACAATCTGTTACACAGCAAGCTTTGTCACGCTCATTCGCTACATTTTTGTATAAAAACATCTTCGTAAGGCGAGGACAGTGGTTCATGGTGGTAATCCCAGCACTTTGGGAGGCAGAAGCAGGCAGATCACGAGGTTGAGAGATCGAGACTATCCTGGCCAACGTGGTGAAACCCCGTCTGTACTAGAAATACAAAAAAATTTAGCCAGCCGTAATGGAATGTGCCTGTAGTTCCAGCTACTTGTGAGGTTGAGGCAGGAGAATCCTTTGAACCCGGGAGGCAGAGGTTGCAGAGCCGAGATCGCACACCGCACTCCAGCCTGGGTGACAGGGAGACTCCATCTCATAAAAAAACAAAAAAGAGGTCGGGCGCGGTGGCTCACGCCTGTAATCCCAGCACTTTGGGAGGCCGAGGCGGGTGGATCACGAGGTCAAGAGATCGAGACCATCCTGGTCAACATGGTGAAACCCCGTCTCTACTAAAAATACAAAAAATTAGCTGGGCATGGTGGCTCATGCCTGTAATCCCAGCTACTCAGGAGGCTGAGGCAGGAGAATTGCCTGAACCCAGGAGGCGGAGGTTGCGGTGAGCCGAGATCGCACCATTGCACTCCAGCCTGGGTAACAAGAGCGAAACTCCGTCTCAAAAAAACAAACAAACAAAAAACTTCTGAAGCGTCCCTAGTACCTACCTGAACTAATTAGCTCAATGAATTAATATATTTACATGTCAATTATAGAAAGTGAAATGAACAATAACTAAAGAAAAGTAGGTTTATATAGACTTCTCCAATTAAAGGAACAAAATCAAATGTCCTAACTAAATAAGATATAACTTAAAACATGAATTGTGGAATTGCATCTAAACATTATTTTGTGTGCACAACTAAATTTCATAAAAATCATCCTTATAATCCACCCCATTCAGCTCATGTAATGAATACCTCATAAAGTATAAAAGAAAAAAAAATAGTTACTTGCTCCATAATTTTTTTTTTTTTTTTTTTTTTTTGGTGCTGTGACTCGGATGCTCCATAATTTTCTTACACCTAATGTTTATCTTTTTTTTTTTTTTTTTTTTTTTTTTTTTTTTTTTTTTGAGACGGAGTTTCACTCCTTACCCAGGCTGGAGTGCAATGGTGCGATCTTGGCTCACCGCAACCTCCGCCTCCTGGGTTCAGGCAATTCTCCTGCCTCAGCCTCCTGAGTAGCTGGGACTACAGGCACGAGCCACCATGCCCAGCTAATTTTTTGTATTTTTAGTAGAGACGGGGTTTCACCATGCTGACGAGGATGGTCTCGATCTCTTGACCTCGTGATCCACCCGCCTCGGCCTCCCAAAGTGCTGGGATTACAGGCGTGAGCCACCGCGCCCAGCCCCTAATGTTTACCTTTAATGTATGTGTATATGTAACTCTATGTAAATAAAAACTAAACTCTGTATGTATTTGGAGGCAGACCAGGCACATGCTAAAATACAAATATTTAACAATTTTTTCATGTTTATTCATGACAGAAATGTATGGATTTTATCCTTCTATATAATTTTTATAATAAAATGATCCTTTAGTTAATAACAATTGTACATTAAAATAATGAAAAGTGTAAGATTGGCTTGTAATACAAAGGATAAAGGCTGAAGGTAATGGAATTTTATTTATCCTGATGTGACTAATACATATTATATGCCTGTATCAAAATGTCATATATTGCATAAGCATATACACATACTATGTACCCGCAGAAATTAAGAACTGTAAGTTTAAATAAGACAAAAAAAATTTAACCTATGAAAACATTTTTTAACTTATTTGCAGATGAAAGCCACTTGTGAAAGAGATTACTAGAAACGTTATAGTCCATCATGTTACCAAACAGTAGACTGTTACCATCTTTTACATACACCCTTAAGGTGGAATAGGTTAAAGTTAGAAGCATAGTGATGCTTCATTAATGCACAAGGGTCTTAACTATATTAAAAAGTTACATTTACATGTAATCCAAAAATTTTTAAATGTACTTCATTTAATTACATAAAATTACATTAAATGATATATACTAATTTAAACTTAAAATATTTGTTTTCTCACTATAACGCAGAATATTATTCTGAAAACCTACCTCATGCATCACTACTTTGTTACCCAAAAAAGAGCCTCTCCAATTACCTTTTCATCACACATCTTACATTCTTTTTTAAGACTGAATTTCACTTTTGTTGCCCAAGTTGAAGTGCAATGGTATGATTTAGGCTGTGACCTTTGACTTACAGGTTCAAATGATTTCCCTGTTTCAGCATCCCAAGTAGCTGGGATTACGGGGATGCACCACCACACCTGGCCAATTTTTTTATTTTTAGTAGAGACAGGGTTTTGCCATGTTGGTGAGGCTGGTGTCAAACCCCTGACCTCAGGTGATCCACTCATCTCAGCCTCCCAAAGTGTTGGAATTAGAAGCGTGAGCCACCGTGCCCAGCTGCGTCTTACATTTTAATATCCTTACTGTTCCATAAAAAATGTTTTACATAATGCCCACCTAATAGTCTCTCCTATCTTTGATGCAGCAACAATTGGTCACATGCTTTTGCATGTGAATACAGGAGGAATGAAGAAACGGCATAAAGTTGAGAGTTTTATTACATCATTATTCACTAATTTGAAAAGCTGTAATTTTTTCAAGATAAAACTATACTTTAAATGTAATTATAACACTGAAAATGTTCTACTTCTTTTAATGTTATATACAAATACTTTATCCACTAATGTTTAGTTTGGATTGTTTTCTATACTCAGCAGTGATTTAGTGTAATGTCTGAAGTGTCAGTGCCTTAGGTATCTCTACTGTGAATTCTCTGAAATTTACATCAATTATGGATTAATAATTTTTCATATTTACTGCATCTACAATATATTTTAGTATGAACCCTCTGGTATTTTTTATGCCATGGTTTTTGAAATATGTTTTTCCAAACTTATTACACTGGTAGGGTTTTTCTGCAATATAAATTCCCTTATATTGAACAAAGTTTGTAACATAAACCAAGTATTACAGACTAATGTTTTATAAGCTGTAAGTTTTTGAAACTGTTTTTATAAATTTATTACATTTCCAGGGGTTTCCTCCAATATAAATTTTCTGATGTTGAACAGTAAGCAACTGCTTCAGGGTTTTCTCTAGTACAAAATGTGTGTAAGATCTGTGATACAAATAATGATACTATAACCCTCTTTGTATTTGTCATGTTTGTCTTCAGAATACTCTTCTTCACTTTAAAGGCCTATTTTCTGAAAGAGTTTTTGATACTAATTGCATTTATAATGGTTTTATTAAGTGCAGACGCTCTAATGTTGAGTAAGATATGAGCAGATATTAATGGTTTTTCCATTCTTTTGTGTATACCTTTTCTAAAATAAAAACTAATTCCCATGCAATAAGGTATGAGAATTAAAAGGTTTGCCACGTTCTTCATACTTGTAGTTGTTTACACCATTATAAATGACCTTACCTACAATCAAGTGTGACAACCATTTAAAGGCTTTGTCACATTCTTTGCATTTCTAGGATTTCACACCAGTATAATTTGTTTTATAAAGTTTTTGGTGTTGTCAAAATCACTGTCACAGCCTCAGGTTTGTTGAGTTTCTCTCCAGTATGAATTCTGTTATGTGTAGTAAGGTTTGAATATTGGTTGAAAGCTTTGCCACATTCTTTACATTTGTAGGGTTGCTCTTTAGTATGAATTCTCTTATGTGTATTAAGGTGTGAGGAATAGTTAAATGCTTTGCCACACTGTTCACATTTGTAGGGTTGGTCTCCAGTATGAATTTTCTTATGTTCAATAAGGTTTGAGGATCGATTAAAAGCTTTACCACATTTTTCACATTTGAAGGGTTTCTCTCCAGTATGAATAATCTTATGTGTAGAAAGGGTTGAGGATAGTTTAAAAGCTTTGCCACATTCTTCACATTTGTAGGGCTTCTCTCCAGTATGAATCTTCTTATGTTTAGTAAGGGTTGAGGACCATTTAAAGGCTTTGCCACATTTTTCACATTTGTAGGGTTTCTCTTCAGTGTGAATTATCTTATGTTTACTAAGAGTTGAGAACTGGTTAAAAGCTTTGCCACATTCTTCACATTTGTAGGGTTTTCCTCCAGTATGAATTTTTTTATGTGTAGTAAGATTTGAAGATTGGGTAAAAGCTTTGCCACATTCTTCACATTTGTATAATTTCTCACCAGTATGAATTTTCTTATGTGTAGTAAGGTTTGAAGACTGGGTAAAAGCTTTGCCACATTCTTCACATTTGTAGGGTTTCTCTCCAGTGTGAATTCTCTTATGTTTGGTAAGAATTGAGAAATGATTAAAAGCTTTGCCACATTCTTCACATTTGTAGGGTTTCTCTCCAGTATGAGTTATCTTATGTTCAGTAAGCTTTGAGGACCACTTAAAAGCTTTGCCACATTCTTCACATTTGTAGGGTTTCTTTTCAATGTGAATTTTCTTATGTTTAGTAAGGTTTGAGGACCGGCTAAAAGCTTTGCCACATTCTTCACATTTGTAGGGTCTTTCTGCAGTATGAATTCTCTTATGTGTAGTAAGGTTTGAGAACTGATTAAAGGCCTTGCCACATTCTTCACATTTGTAGGGTTTCTCTCCAGTATGAATTCTGTTATGTTTAGTAAGAGTTGAGGGCCAGTTAAAGGCTTTGCCACATTCTTCACATTTGTAGGGTTTCTCTCCAGTATGAGTTAACTTATGTTCAGTAAGCTTTGAGGACCACTTAAAAGCTTTGCCACATTCTTCACATTTGTAAGGTTTCTTTTCAGTATGAATTTTCTTATGTTTAGTAAGGTTTGAGGACCGGCTAAAAGCTTCACCACATTCTGTACACTTGTAGAATTTCTCTGCAGTATGTATTCTCTTATGTGTAGTAAGGTTTGAGAACTGGTTAAAGGCTTTGCCACATTCTTCACATGTGTAGGGTTTCTCTCCAGTATGAATTCTCTTATGCTTAGTAAGAGTTGAGGGCCAGTTAAAGGCTTTGCCACATTCTTCACATTTGTAGAGTTTGTGTCCAGTATCAATTTTTTTATGTGTAGTAAGGCGTGAGGACCTGTTCAAGGCTTTTCCACATTTATCACATGTGTAGGGTTTCTCTGCAGTACAAATTGTCTTATGTTTAGTGATGATTAAAGGCCACTTAAAGGCTTTTCCACATTTTTCACATTTGCAGAAATTCACTCTGGTATGAATTATTTTATGTTGAGTTAGATGCGAAAGCATGCAAAATGATTTGCCACATTCTTTACATTTGAAAAGTTTTTTTTCAGTATAGCTTATCTTATGTCTGTTTGAATTTGAAAATTTATGAAAGGCTTTCACACATTTATCAAATAGAAATGTTTTTCTCTGGGTAGTTGGCAAACATTGGTTAAATCCATTATAACCTTCTCTGTGCACATGACACTCATCCACACTTTTACAGTCTTTTTTTAAATGTAAATTTTTATGTTCACAGTTTTTATATCTTCTCAGTGTCACTTTTCGGAAAGGATCTTTTAGATGTTGCTCTGGCCAAAAGTCTTGGGCGAAATGAGAACACATAACTGAAAAAAATAAAAATAACAAATTATTCCACTTGCTAGACTCAGCAATAAATATACTTAGTATATTTAACATATAAAATTATATAAGGTACATAAGCAAGATGGCACAGAAAAATACCACAGGCCCTTATTTATTTATAGGCATATAAATGTAACAAAAACATACTGATCAAAATGCATTGGTGAAAAATGTATAAATCAGTGAAGTGCCCCAGGTGAGCCCAATACAAAGAGCCACATAGAAAGAAAAGATAAATTGGTTACATTTACCGAAAACAGCTTTTTCTGATCTCTAACATAATATAGTATCTTTAGAAGTAAATTGCCAACTCCAGTTATTTTGCATTTAGGGGAATACCTGAGAGTGGATAATCTATAAAGAAAAAAGGTTTATTTTGCTTACAATTTGGCAGACTGTACAAGAAGTGTGTGCCAGCATCTGCTTCGGGTGAGGGTCTCAGGAAGCTTACTGTTACGGTGGAAGGAAAAGAGTGGAAATATCACATGGTAATAGAGAAAGTGTGAGGTGAAGGAGCCAGGTTCTTTTAATGAACCAACAGTCTTTCGAGTATAACAGAGTGCAAACTGTTTTTTGTGTTTTTTTTCCTCAGACGAAGTCTCATTCTGTCATCCAGGCTGTGGCGTCAGTGGCGCGATCTCAGCTCACTGCAACCTCCATCTCCCAGGTTCAAGTGACTCTCCTGCCTCAGCCTCCCAGGTAGCTGGGACTACAGGTGCATGCCACCACCCAGCTAACTTTTTTATTTTTTGTCGAGACAGGGTTTCACTATGTTGGCAAGGCTGGTCCCAAACTCCTGATCTCAAGTGATCTGCCCACCTCAGCCTCCCAAAGTTCTGGGATTACAGACATGAGCCACCACGCCCAGCCGAAGGTAAATATTTTTATTACTAAGAGGATGGTGCCAAGCCATTCATGAAGAATTCACTCCCACTACAAAAACACCTCTTTCCAGGTCCCACATCCAACATTGATGATTACGTTGCAGCATGAGGTTTAGAAACACGGACATCCAAACCATATCACAGACAAAGTATACTTAACAGACTCATACAAACCTTTCTAGTAAAAAGCAAGAGACTATACAATATTCTTATTTGTACTTTGTGTATTTTATTAGGATGAATACCGAGTTTTATTTATTTATTTATTTATTTATTTATTTATTTATTTATTTATTTTTAATTTAAGACAGGGTTTCACCATGTTGGTCAGGCTGGTCTTGAACTCTTGACCTCAGGTGACCCGCCCGCCTTGGCCTCCAAAGTGCTTGGATCACAGGCATGAGCCACCACACCCGGCCACCAAGTTTTATTAAATTTAAGAATACCAGCTGGGTACAGTGGTTTATGGCTATAATCCCAAAATTTGGGGAAAAAAGGTAGGAGGATCACTTGGGGCCAGAAGTTTGAGACCAGCCAGGGTAACACAGTGGGGCCCTGTCTCAACAAATAATTAAAAAAAAAAATTAGCCAGGAATGGTAGTTCATGTCTGTACACCCAGCTACTTGAGGGGCTCAGGTTGAAGCATCACTTGAGCCCAGGAATTTGAGGCTGCAGTGAGCCAAAATCATGCCGCTGCACTCCAGTATGGGCGACAGAGTAAGATCCTGTCTCAAAACAACAACTACAACCAATAAATTTAAGAAGGCCAAAATTATACACTGTGTTTTTTGACCAACGTTGCATAAAACTAGGAATTAAAAGCAAAACTAAAAAAATATGAAAATAAAACACACTTTTCAACAAATTCTTTTTTTTTTTTTTTTTTAGACAGAGTTTCACTCTTTTTGCTCAGGCTGGAGTACAATAGCGCGATCTTGGCTCATTGCAACCTCTGCCTCCCAAGTTCAAGCCATTCTCCCCTCTCGGCCTCCCAAGTAGCTGGGATTACAGGCATGCACCACCATGCCCAGCTAATTTTTTGTATTTTTAGTAGAGATGGGGTTTCTCCATGCTGGTCAGGCTGGTCTTGAACTCCTGACCTCAGGTGATCTGCCCACCTCAGCCTCCCAAAGTGCTGAGATTACAGACGTGAGCCACCGTGCCCGGCCTCAACATATTCTTGCTCAAGGATCAAATAATTTAATTTTTGCAAAGTTGTCGATACAAGTTATAGTGACGAACTAATTCAATATAATCTCTACCAAAAATTCAATAGTATAATTTTTTACAGAAATATTCTTCACAATTTTAAAATCTGATGAAAAATCTCAGCCAAACAACTATGAAAACAATAAAGAGGTATTATACTTTCTGATTTCAAAACATAAAAGCTACAATTATAATGTGGTACTGACACAAAGACAGATAAGTAGATGAATAAACAGAATAAAAAGCCCTAAAATGAACCCTTCTGTTTATGATCAAATGATCTTCCACAAAGTTGCCAAGAGCAAATAATAGAAAAACAAGTCTTCAAAAAATAATGTTGAAATGTGGATATCAAAAGTAATAAAATAAAGTTGAATCATTTCCTTAAATTATATATACAAATAATTTAAGTAGCCAAAAAGAAGTAACTAACAAATCTTTTAAAAAGAAATATTAAAAAAAGACATGACATTGGTCTTGGCACCATTTTCTTAGATACAACCTTAAATGCATGAACAACCAAAAAAGAACAGAACGGTGGCTCAAGCCTGTAATCCCAGCACTTTGGGAGGCCGAGGCGGGTGGATCACGAGGTCGAGAGATCGAAACCATCCTGGTCAACATGGTGAAACCCCGTCTCTATTAAAAATACAAAAAATTAGCTGAGCATGGTGGCACGTGCCTGTAATCCCAGCTACTCCGGAGGCTGAGGCAGGAGAATTGCTTGAACCCAGGAGGCGGAGGTTGCGGTGAGCCGAGATCGCGCCATTTGCACTCCAGCCTGGGTAACGAGAGCGAAACTCCGTCTCAAAAAAAAAAAAAGAAAGAACAGAAAACTTTAGCTACATCATACCTCAAAATTTCTGTACATCAAAGAAAACATTCGATAGAGTGACAATACCTCCTAGAAAATGAAAGTATTTGCAAATCCCATGTGATATTTATTCACTGATATTCAGAATATATAAATAACTCTTAAAACTGAACAATAAACTTGAATAACTTGATTTTGAAATGGACAAATAATTGAACTAAATTTTTATCAAAAATGTACACAAATGGAAAGAAGTATTTGAAAACACACAAAATTATGATTTGTAGAGAAATGCATAAAAACTGCAATGAAAAATAAAATCACCTTACACCCATTTAGAATGGCCACTATAATAAATTTTTTTAAAACCAAAATCTGTTGATGATGCAATAAAAATAGTCAGATGCAGGGGCTCACATCTTTAATCCCAGCACTCTGCAAGGGCGAGACAGGTAAATCACCTTAGGTCAGGAGTTCAAGACCAGCCTGGCGAACATAGGATAACCTCATCTGTACTAAAAACACAAAAATTAGTTAAGCGTGGTGGTGGGTGCCTGTAAATCTCAGCTACTCCAGAAGCTAAGGCAGGAGAATTGTTTGAACCTGGGACATGGAGGCTGCCGTGAGCTGAGATTGAGTCACTGCACTCCAGTCTAGGTGACAGAGTAAGACCCAATATTTGGGGGAAAAAAAAAAAATCTGTGTTGATTGGTAGTGGAAAATAAGTATGCAGCCATTATTTAAAATGTTGTGTGTCTCAAATGATTAAAAATGAAATTATCATCAAATACAGAAATTTCATTTATGAATCTATATTCATGACAGAAAACACAGGACCTGTATGACATAAACATCCATATTTATTATATCAGTAGGCACGAAAGCCAAAAGGCTGAAGAAACTTAAATATTCCTTGATTGATAAATATATCAAAAAATAATTTTAATATAAATTTTGAGAATACTATGTCACCTGAAATTAACAAGTAAGGAAATTATGGATATCATATGACTCAACTTATTTGACATATCTTAGGTAGTCACACTAAATAAAAACAGAAAGTAAAAGGGAGTTTGTTAAGGGCTGACGAGAGTAAAATGAGTACTAGTTACTTAATGTGTATTTAGTTTCAAATGTGTAAAATTTCTAGATGCTTTTTTGAATTAACAATGTAAATATGCTTATCATGCCTGAAATGTACAGCTTTTTTTTTTTTCTTTTCTGAGTCAGGGTCTCACTCTTGTCACCCAAGCTGAAGTACAGTGGCACAATTATGGCTCACCATAGACTGTAACTCCAAAGCTCATGTAATCCTTCCCCATTAATCTTCCAAAAAGCTTAGACCACAGGTACACACCACCATGCTTGGCTACTTTCAAAAATTATTTGTAGAGAGGGAATCTCCGTATGTTGCGCAGACTAATCTCAAACTTTGGCCTCAAGCAATTCACCTGTCTTGGCCTCCCAAAATCCTGGTATTACAGATGTGAACTGACACCATGCCTGAAATGTACACTTCAATAGATTTAAGATGGTAAATTTTATGTTATATATATTTATAACACTAACATTAACAAAAAGAAAAACCTAAAAAAAATACAGAACTATAAATCTTTCTAAAAATTACCTTCAAATCACAAAAGTGTTTCTCTCACGCAGAGAAAATATATATTTATCACTAAACAAATGGTGGAAATAGACTACTTCCATGACTACTCGCTAGGGAAGATAAAACAACCATTAAAAATTAGGTAAAAAATAATAAACATAAGATACGGCATAACCAAAATTGGGGTCATATTTACAG